ATATCCACCTAATAAAATTAACAGTAGTTTCTTAATATCATCTAACATTTAGTCCATATTTAAATTTCTGTAATTGCCCATGAAATTTTTTCTAGTAATTTGTCTGTTGGAACCAGGACCCCAGAAAGTCCCACACACTTGGCTGCTTTATCTCTTAAATCTCTCCTAGTCTGTAGCAGGAGAGATTTCCAGGAGGGATATTTCTCACTGTATTCTTTTATATCCTTATTTTTCTCTTTCTTTCTTTCTTTTTTTTTTATTAAGGTATCATTGATATACAGTCTTATGTTCAGGTTTCACATGAGCAACATTGTGATTACTACATACTCCCCCATTATCAAGTCCCCCCCCACATACCCCATTACAGTCACTGTCCATCAGCATAGTAAGATGCTACAGAGTCACTACTTTTCTTCTCTGTGCTATACTTCCTTCCCCGTGCACCCCCTATATTATATGTATCATAATGTCCCTTAATCCCCTTATCCCTCCCTTCCCACCCACCCTTCCCCACCAGTCCCCTTTGGTAACTGCTAGTCCCTTCTTGGAGTCTGTGAGTCTGCTACTGTTTTGTTCCTTCAGTTTTGCTTCATTGTTATACTCCTCCACAAATGAGAGAAATCATTTGGTACTTTTCTTTCTCCACCTGGCTTATTTCACTGAGCATAATACCGTCTAGCTCCATCCATGCTGCTGCAAATGGTAGGATTTGTTTTCTTCTTATGGCTGAATAATACTCCATTGTGTATATGTACCACATCTTCTTTATCCATTCATCTACTGATAGACACTTAGGTTGCTTCCATATCTTAGCTATTGTAAGTAGTGCTGCAATAAACATAGGGGTACATATGTCTTTTTGAATCTGTGATCCTGTTTTCTTTGGGTAAATTCCTAGGAGTGGAATTCCTGGGTCAAATGGTATTTCTATTTTGAGTTTTTTGAGGAACCTCCATACTGCTTTCCACAATGGTTGAATGAATTTATATTCTTACCTATATCTTTATTTTTCAATCATGTAAATGAATGATCTACATTAAAGTTAAATTTAGATGAAAACATATATCTAATGCCTCATGGAGAGTTAGCCTCCCAAAGGGCCCCCAATGGGTGGCTGGTATGGGAAAGCACCCAGGCAGTGGGAACCTGGGGACAGAGAGGATGGTGGGGGTGATGGGAGGCCCTGCCAGAGCCCCAGGTGGTAGATAGAGTCAGGTAGCCCAGGGGCCTGGCATTCTGGGGAGTTTCCTAGCCTTCCTGGCAGACTTAGGTGGAAGGGTGGGGGGAACAGTAGCAACAATATGTTGGAACAACCTAAGGAAAGTCCCCAAAGTCAAGGATGATGCAATCATTCTAAACATGCAGGGTGGTGAGACACCACAGGAAACCCACCACCTACCAAACTGAGCCAGGAGTTGCACCAAAGCACACCCAGAGGGGACGACGGAGGATCAGAGAAACAGGAGGAGCACGAAGGAGAGAGGGGGCCAAGAAACCAGAAGTCAGGAGACCTGAGCTCTCGAGTCTGTCACCAGCCACCTGCGCTATCCCACGGAATTCACCTATAGACACAGTCCTGTGAGTAACCATGGCTGGGGTGGGGGTGAGTGAGTAATATTATATGTTAGTATTTGCTTGTGTTTGCGTAAAGGAAACAATGAGAGTCAAATGAGATCCTGAGTGTGAAAGAGGAGGGGCAATTCTTCCCATCTAATATTGCAAACAGATCACAAAACCCACTCTTGCCAACTTCCCCATGTTATCCCCGACCTAAAAGATGGGCTGCTGCAGGTTGAATAGGAGTTTGTTAAGAACAAAAGAGACTGCAGACAAAGAAAATGACAGAGCCAAAGAAGGAGAAATGAAAAGGAGCTCAAGAGAGTTCAGAGAATTAAAAGAAATGCAAAACACTAAAGTGGTGTTGGATCTTGGATTGGATTCTGGAACAGCAAAAGGACTTAGTGGAAAAGCTGGTGAAATCTGAATAAAACCTGCAGTTAGTTCATAGGACTTTACCAATGTTAATTTCTTAGTTTTGACAAATATACCATATTTATGTAAGACGTTAACACTGCAGAAGCTATACTGTATTTGCAACCTAAAATTATTCCAAAATTAAGATGTTATTAAGAAAGAGATAAGAAGGAAAAAAGAAATGCAAAATGGCTAGAGCTCACCAGGTGCTGAAAGTAGAGACAGACAACAGACCCCAGCAGAGGCCACATTACCTGGGTCCTTCTGTGCCACTTGACTGGGGCCCAGACCTTATTTACCTACAGGCAATGACTCCACATGATTTCTTCCTCTCTGAAGCCTTCCCACAGGTCCTGGGTGACATTAGTGACAGCTTCTCACCTTCAGCTTCACCTTCACTACATTTCACTTGCCCATACCTGCCTGAACCCACACCTTAGGGTCCCAGGTCTTACACACACACACACACACACACACACACACACACACTGCTCCTCTGTCCAGCCTCTCTCTCACACACACACATACACACACACACACGCACACTGCTCCTCTGTCCAGCCTCACACATACACACACACATACTGCTCCTGTCCAGCCTCTCTCTCTCTCACACACACACATGTACACTGCTCCTCTGTCCAGCCTCCCACATACACACACACACACTGCTCCTCTGTCCAGACACACACACACACACACACACACACACACACTGCTCCTCTGTCCAGCCTCTAATCCTCCTCCTGAATCCAAAACAGAAGTCAGCTGCCATCCCCATTCTGCAGGTAGAGGAGAAAGGCAGAAATCCTCCCAGCTCCAAGCTGTGGAAACAGTGGCTCAGAAGGACACCAGCAGAGGCAGGCCAAGGTGTAAACCCAGCACCTGTCGTTGGTCCCTAAGACACAGCTTGCTGGGAGTCACCTTCACGACGGTACAACCCTTGGGGTGTTACCTGCGGCCCCTTTGCCCACCTCTACAATCAAAGGGCAAAAACGACAAAGAATGGTGCCAATGTTAAAACATCCACTCACCCTGTGAAGAGACAGTTGAGCACCTGGGCTCTGGAGCTGGACCACCTGGGTTCAAATCCTGACTGCTGCTTCCTAGCAAGTTAGTTAACCTCCTTGTGCCTCGGTTTCCCCATTTGTAGAATGGAGATAATAAGACAATCGACCTCATAGGGTCATTGGTGGATTAAATGAGTTTCCATATAGCAGTTAGAACAGCATCTGGCACATCAGATGTGCCCACTGAAGTGGTAGCTCTTTGCACTGATTTTTTAAATTATCTGTAGAGAACCTGCTGTGGGTACTGTGGAAGCTGATAATCTAGTTGGGGAGGTTTTTTTTTAATAGATGCATGAAACATGAAACTTGAAATTACCATGCAGGACAATGTCTGATCAGAGACTAGTGGGTGATTCAGAAAGAAGTTGCTAGAAAGCACAGAGAGGTGCTCAGAATGGTCTGGATGCTGGAACGTAGGGGAATGCAAGGGCTCAGCTGCTGCATCCAGGGAGAAGGCAGGAGGCGAGGCCAGGAGCTGAGGCTGAGGAAAGAGAAGGCAGGAACCCAGGCACAGATGTGGGAGCATTCAGAACCCTCATAGAGGAAACTGAATTGTCAATACAGGTTAAGATGGGAGCAGAGGACCTTTGTGATGATCTAAGAACTGGGACATTAGCTTTTCAAACATTCAGTAAATATTTATCAAGCACCTACTGTGTGTCAGGCACTGTCGAAGGCACTTGGGATCCATCTACAAGAAGACAAGCAAAATTCCCTGCCCCAGCGCAGTTTACATTCTGGCAGAAGGCAGCAGGTAATAAACAGTACACACACTAAGGAAATCCACCACTCCGTCAGAGGGTGATAAATGCCATGGAAAACAGTTTAGAAGTAGGGGGAGTTGGAAGGTTTTTGAGCAAGAAAGATGAGTTGAAAGAGCAAAGCACAAGCTTTAGAAGGGTAACAAAAGGCAGATATTGTCAGTTGCTTACAACTCCTCTGTGCCCCCCAATCTTCTAAAGAGGACAGATCCTGAGAAATATGATTTGTTTTGCTGAGTTGGGGTAGTGGGAGGTAGAGGATAAACACTGGAGATGCCAGGTGAGAGCCTCATTGCTCCACATGGATGGGAAAGCCTGGGCCAGGAGGCCGGCAGGGGCTGGGCTGGGGGCAGGAGACAGGCAGGTGTGGCTGCCACAGAGCGCCAGTCTGAAGGAAGAGTACCCAAAGCAGGTTTTTAGAATGGTGTTCTCCGGCACACGAGCTGTCACCCCCAGCCACCTTTCTAAAAGCTTCATAAACTCCACACCATGCATAGGTGGTCTCCACAATGACTGTGCGTGTGTTTCATGCCATGAGAAGAGCTTACAGGCAAGAGTAGGGCGATCCAAGCCCAATGGCATCACACGGCAATCAGCCCAAGGATTTGTGCAGATTATACAAATGAATGCCAGGGACATGGGAAGGCAGGCAGGACGGCTTCTGGGGCTGAGGAAGAGCTTCCATATCACGGCTACCACCTTGGGCAGTGGCAGAGGAAGGAAAGCTGAGGCACCAACACGGAGCTAGACTCAGAAGACCTGCGGTGACGCTGCTGCTAAGTCACCGTCCCCTACCTCAGGCTTGCCTCCTCACCTTCAAACTGGAAAGCCTCTGGTGCCTGCCAGCAGGACGGAGAGAGCTGCAGATATCCTGAGGTTTGGTGCTGCCTGGTGGGAGTGCGAGGGCTCAGGAGAAAGGAAATCGGTTTCCGGTGCGGGGAGGCCCCCAGAGATTATGAATTCTGACCTTGATGCTTATTTTGAGACAAGAGCTTCCTACTGCTCCCATAACAAATTACCACAAATTTAGTGGCATAAAATAATACATGTTATTTTACAGTTCTGAAGGTCCGAAGTCTAATGAGTTGACAGGGCTGCACTTGTTCCTCCTGGCAGCCTTCGAGAAGACTCTGCTTCCTTGCTGTTTCCAGCTTCTAGAGGCTGCCCGCATTCATTCCTGGGCACATGGCCCCACATCTCTGGGATCTCTGAGTCCACCTTCACCGCTCCGTCTCTGGCTTGGACCCTCCTCTGGTTTCTTTGCATGAGGACTTCCGTAATTACACTGGATCCACCAGAATAACCAGGATAACCTCCCACCTCAAGATGCTTAACTTTATCACCTGTGCAAAATCCCTTTTTCCCTGTAAGATAACTGCAAGAGATTCAAACGGGGTAATCCATGGAGGAAAAGACTGGCTGTTCAAGGAAGGCTTCGTGAAGTGAAGGCATTTGAGCTTAGTAAGAGGAGCAGTAAAGAAGTTTCTAGATATGAAGGGAACGACCAAGATGGGATAGCACCAGGGACACTGAGGGAGGCGTGTCTGAGGGTTGGTCCGCAGGGCGAAAAGCTGCAGCAGTATCAAGGAGAAACAAACCCCACGATGGCTCCTGGTGTGGCGGCTGGTGTCAACGGACTGTGAGAGTGTGGGTCCTGCCCTGTCACCCACAGCTGGAGGAAGAGCCGTCCAGGGGGATGGGTGTGGCCCATCCTTCACTGGCTGGGCCCCTGTGTTCGAAACTTACCACCAGGGGGCTCACAAGAGCCAAAGTGGACTCTCAGCCAGAGCAAGGGTTTTTCCCCCCAGAAGCAGGATGATGCCCTGAGGGAAGGGAAGAAAAGTTTCCCCTCTGCAGCGCCACAAAGCCTGGAAGGCCTTACTCCCTCCATGTGATCTCTGACTCAAGGGCTTACCCAGATTTTTCCCTTCCCGTTAAAGCAAACCATATTTTTTCCATCTCTCCCTTTACTGGTTGCCTGTACGACTCAACGCCTGAAGTAAACACGCTCTGGCTGGGGCGCATTGCCGCGCAGGTCAGAACAGAGGACACACTGACACCTCCTCGTCCCAAGGGGTCATTGGGCAGGGAGGACACCCAGGCGCAGACAGTGGGAACTCGGATCTCTTCACTCTTGATCGTATGTAATTTGGGGCTTAACCATAGGCCCCCACAACTGTTTATAGAGTGTGAATAATAGTAGCTGTAACAACAACCAACTTTCTGGAGCACTTGTGGGCCAAGCTCTGGACTGAGCCCCCTCCCCTGGTGGATTACCTCTCTCAAACTCAGGATTACCCTAAGAAGTAGTTTCTATTATAAGCTTAAATATTTACTGAACTCCTCCCCACCTGTGCTCGTTAAGGGGTGGGGGTGGGGCAGGGAAGGAGAGGAGGACATAAACAGATAAAAATCTTTTCTTACCTTCCACCTGTTCTCTCCAGCTAGGTGAACTCTGGCTGAGAGCCACATAATGCAACACCGTCTTCCTATCCACCCCCACTCCCCACTCCCCCCGCAGCCCCCCACCCCCGTGCAGGGCCTCAGGCCCTGCAGTGCTGCAACCATCCTAGGAGGGCTGTGGATTAGGGTGAGTGACTGAGGTGAAGCACCCGCTACTGGTAGTTTCCCCCCTTCACTGCCCCCTGCGGTTTCCAGCTCTGAGCCTTTGCAGATACAGTTCCCTCCACCTGGAATTCCCTCCTCACCTTGTCTACTGACCCCAACTTCCAAAGTCAGCTGCTGAGGTGTTCCCTACACAGGAAAGCCTCTCCTGGCCCAAGCCCACTTGGGGACACACCCTTAGCCTCCACTTTTTCCAAGGCCACATCTGCTCCGTGAGCTCATACTTGTCTGCCCCTCGCTCAGAGTCAGACTGAGATTCTGTCCTATGGGATAGACATCAGCTCATCTCTGCACATGGTTCAGTACATAACACACAGAACAGTCATCCAGAACCTGGCTCCTGCTGCTATGACTCTGGGGTCTCACCCACTCCCCTGCCCACATTTTGTCCCCTCTTCTGGTTTTGCCACACTCTGCAGCCTCCAACCTACTGCCCAACCTTAGTCCACATCTTTGTCTTTCACCTGAACTATTCTACAGCTTCCCAACTGATCTCCACAAGGTCCTCAGCTCACCTTTAACCTCCCCACTGCTGCCTTTACATTACTTAACTTCAGGCCCCCTGATATAACACCTCAACCTCCAGAATAATCCTCCAAAGCTCTGAGCCAAGGCCTGGAGATAACAAGCAATGGTCTTTATCCTCCAGGGGCCTCCTGCCTGCCCCTCCTGCCTCCCCCACCCAGCTGCCCAAAGTACAGAGAGGTAGGCAGGGAGCTAATCACACAGCTGAACGGATTTCCTGCTCCAAGCCTTCAGGGGCTCCTCACCTCAGAGTGCCAAGTCCAAGCCCAGGATGTTCCTCCTCGCCTCACCCCTACTAGGTCCCCACCTTCACCTCCCAACCCCTACCCCGACCCCATAAACCCCAGTCCCAGCCGTTGCCCAAGATTCTCCTGTGATTGCAACAATCTGTCCTGTGGTTATGCCCCATCACTTCCCAGTCTGGGTCAGAGGCCCTCCTTTGAACCCCTTAGCCCCCAAGCCTGTCTCTAGGACCCCACCGGCACTCTCATCCCATAGTCTGGCTGCCTGAAGCCCTCCCCTAATGGACTCTAAGCTCCTAGAGGGCAGAAACAGGATCAGCCTCCGCCCCTAATGATATATTCTCATACGTAGATCCTGAAAATGTTGTGCATCCATGAGACAGATCTAACAATTATAACAAACACAAAATAAGTGCTAGAAGTGCTAACACCAGCTGTTTCTGGTAGGTGAAATTTTCATTTATGTTCTTTTTGCTTGTTGGTATTTTCTGATGTTTCTTGCCTTTGTGATAAAAAAGAACAAATGAAACTTCATTTAAAAAAAACACAAAGGGGTCTGGGGACTTCAAAAGAAGGGGTAATCTCCTCATCCCTTGTTGAGAAACAGGAATGTTTCAGGAGCCATAGAATTTCTGCAACGGGGTGGGTGGGGGGCCGTTGGCCAATCTGAGGTTACACACCCCATGCATGCCACGTGCTGGGCCCAGAAGCGATGGCGTTGGGGGCAGGTCCCAGTGACCCCAACAAATGCAAGTTGAGGAATTTGACTTAGTTTATTGAATGTGGGGAACTATAGAAAAGTTTTTGAGCAGAGTAGAAACATGCCCAGAACTCGCAGTGGTCAAGGGCAAAAGGGATGGTGGTGTGGGGCAGAGGCAAGAACAGAGGCAGGCGGGGCTACAAACTCTCTCTTCTCAGGGACATCTAAACCTTATGTGCAAGAAACCGTTCGTATTTGAGAATTACTCCCATTAGCCTCCGACCTATCTTCCCACCGGGACTGCAAACTGATTCCTCCTACTGAACATGATGGGTCAAATGAGAGTGTACTGGAAGGGTGAAGTTTGCAGGGAGCCGCCCCAGGAAGAAAGCACGCCAGGCAGCTTCCCTTCACATCGAGGCAAAGCAAAAAGGGCCCTCATTCCGCGGGCAACCGGCTGCGGGTACGGGGACTCTACACCGACAATCGGCGCAAAGTCCCCGAAAGGAGAGGGCTCAGGCCGGGAGCCCAGAATCCAGGCGAGAACCGGAAGGGCGCGGCTTGCCTGTAAAACTCCCAGGTACTCAGTAGCGGGTGGCGCTCCGGAAAGACCCCCACGGTGGGGAGGAGGGTACGGCCAACTCGGCGGAGAAAGGGGTGAGCGGGAGGCCGAGGGGGAAAGCAGGTCGCGAATCCCGGGCGCCCCGGCCGGCGCGGGGCGGGGGCGGGGCAGGTGGGGTGGGGCGGGGCCACGGCACATGCGCACCGAGGCCGGCCGCGCGGAGAGGAGTGGCACTTTTTAAAAGTGCAGCCCCGAGGCCAGCCTGCAGCCGCCGGCACCTTGGTCCGAAACCTGATCCCGTCAGTGCCGGCTGCGCGTCCCCGTCCCACACGAGTCCGGCCCAGGCCAGTCTAATCCGCACCATGCCGGTCAAAGGAGGCACTAAGTGCATCAAATACCTACTCTTCGGATTTAACTTCATCTTCTGGGTGAGTGAGCGCGACCGCCGAACGCCCCTCTCCGGGGCCACCTGGTCGCCCTGGGGACCCTGTCCGACGTCGGGGCCGCCGGTAACTGGCACCGCCCGCGTGAAGTCGACTCCGGGCGGGAGAAGAAAGGGCCTGTTGCCACCAACTGCCTGCCCACTGGGTCCGGATACGCGCTGGGCGGGCACGTTTCTAGGAGGTTCTCTGAAGCCGAGTAGGCAGGGGCCGGGGAGACCGCTCCCGACCCTCTTCTGGGGTGGGGTTAGTGTCTGCTCCCACTCCGAGTCTCAGGAGTACAGGAAGGGCAGGCGGCAGGGAGAGCCCGAGCACCCCCTTCTGGGAACTCGGGGCCCTGGCCGAGGACAGAGGGGCAGTGCCCTCCGTGACTGAGGTGGGGTCTCAGAAGTGGCGGGGCCGCGAGGAGGGGAGGATGCGGGCGCTCGGAGGGACTTGGGTGGCGCAGGGAGAGCTCGGCCAGGGGTTGTTGGCACTTGCACACTCCGGTGTCCTACGCAGACCTACTCGGGGACCCTGGAGGAGGAACCCACAGGCCCCAGTTATTCCCAGACGTCGATTCTGAGTAGCCGTGAGAAAGTCCGAACTCCCTGGAAACTTCCTGAAAGACTAGCTTGTCTTGATTTTTTTTCCAAAGGCGGTAAGTATCTGAACTGGAGGGAACTCTGGGAGAGTTGGGGAGAGATGGAGAAGGCAGATGCCCGCGGGCTCTTTTAGTGGGGTGAAGCCTATGTTTATCCGTTTCCCAGAGAGGTAAGGTGCCGGCCTCCCACTGCCCGCCGCTGGGCCTCCGGTCTCGCCAGCCCACTCAGCCGCAAAGCGGGGCCAGGAGGGGGAGCTCACCTGGAAAGGGCACCTGGCCGGGAGCGCCTGGACTCGCGCTGGTGGCTCCCCTCGGCCCTCCTCTCCGCAAATGGGAGGCCTGAGAGAGGTTGCAAAACTATGGAGTGTACCTCCATACCTTCCGTGGGGGGGTTAAGGGGTCACCCAAAGACAGAAGCAAGGACTAGTGGACTCTTGTGTCCTGGTTCTGAGGGCCACATCCCCTGCAAACAGATGGACAGTATTTGCCCCTCTGCAGTCAGGAAAGAGTTCAGAAAGGCAGCCCCTGTACCACTTTCAAGAGAGATGGCTGGAGAAACGGGTTCCCCCAGACCCTTGTAACCAGAAAAATGTATTTCTTCCTATGTGGCTGGTCACTGGGGTCCCAGTTAACTTGGGGGCAAATCATCTGATTTAATCCTGTCTCCAGAGTTGGCAGGGTAAGAGACTGGCTCGCCCTTGTAAGAGGCACCCCAGGGGCACTCTAGTGAGGATGGCAGATAGATGTGCCCTGCCCAACCCTTGGTCTGCTTTAGGGAGACCCTCCTGGTGTTCCTAGCAGCTTGCTAGCTAACTGCCAGGCTTGGCTTCCTCTCACCAACCTCTGGCACCAGAAAAGAATGTGAGAGGGTGGACTAGCCCCGCCCCGCCCCACCCAACCCTGTCCTTTGGGGAGTTTTCCGCTCCCTGCCTGGCTGTTGATTTAGTCCTCAGCTGTCTGCCTAGGCTGCATCAGATTTGGGGCTAGGGGGGACCACAGACTACCAGAGTTGCATACTCCCCCCTCCACTCTGCCCCCTGACACATGCAGGTGCCTGGTGGGAGGCTCCCAGGGCCACTCCAGTATCTGCTTCGTCTCCAACCTGCCACCCCACTGTCTTCAGAGCCACCCTGCCTGGGCTAGGTGCCACTGATCAGTTACGTCTGGCACCGAAATGACTCACTCTGGGAATATTTGGGTTTAGAGTTGGGAGTGACTTTAGAAATCATCTGGCCCAGCCAGCCCTCTTATTTGCAGTGAGGAAGCACAACCAGAGAGGGGGTAGGTGATTTGTCCAGGATCAGAGACTCATCCAGTACTACAATCCTGGGTCCCCTCCTTTAATCCTATCCTTTTCTGTCTCCATCACGAAACCATCAAGGGCACCTGGTAATGGGCTGGTGTAGGGGTGTAAGCAGTATCTGCATTTTCCTGAACTGATAAAGATACTGTACAGTAGTCCTGTATTTAGGTCCCTCACAGAAGCCCCCATCCCCTAGGAGACAGTGAAGTAAAGGAATATCAGAATCCATTTGTGCACCAGTGTATCCTGCAAAGGCCTTTTCCAAGTCCCATGATAAGCCAGTAGGAAGCATCATCCCCATTTTACTGATGACCAGGAAACCTGTCCCCAGGGAGGTTAAGTGACTTATCTAGGGTTGTGTGGCCGCATAGCATCAAAAGTAGGGTAGAACAGGCCTGGATGGCTTCAAGTCCCGTGGACTGTCCAGCATAACCTGCTACCTACACAGCTGGGTGGGAGTGAGAGAAGGTGGAACAAGCTCTCAAAATAATCTTTTCAGGGAAGCTATGATGTAAGTAAGGGGGCTGCTTGGATTGTTACAGTGTTATCACTTCCCTTTCTCTCTTCAAAAATTTATAAACTTGGCTTTTGGGGGCCTGACATAGGCCTTGAAAAGCAGGAATTTTGAGACCAGCACCTTATCAATGGGGGCTGCCTGAGAGGGTAGGTGGCCTAGCAGGGATCCAGAGAGAGGAAGCCCACCTCAGTGGCAGTGGGGTTGGAGGGTGTACCTCTTCATCTCCCTGTGTCATCCCTATGGGGTACATGGTAACAGCCAGCCTGAGCTTTCGGCCCTGAAACCCTTCCCAGCTTGTCTACCCAGCCCTCCAACCCCCGCCCCTAGGCCCCAGAACTACTTGAGAGGGAAAACATCTTACAAAAGTCAGAGGGTAAGACTGTAAAGTGGGGAACCAGGGCCTGGCCAGGAGTGTATCTTTCCCCTTCCCCCCAAATCCTAGGCCTGCATTGAGAGGACCTAGCTCCTACCCACTACCCTCATCTGTCTCTGCTCCCTCTCATCCTCATGGATAGAAATAGCTGGGGATTTCTCTTTCCCAAAAAATGGTGTCACCTGGACTGGGAATTCAGAGACCTGAGTGTTCGTCCAGCCTGTCTCCAGCTTTCTTGGAAACCTTAGGCAAGTGGCTTTTGTGCTCCAGACCTCAGTTTCCCCATCTGTAAAACCAATGGGTTGAAGCATGGGGTCGGAAGGTCCCACTGCCTCTGTGAAACCAGCCCCACCCTCACTGCCCAAAGCAGTAGGACTTTCCCACACAACCCAAAATAGGAGTTGGGAAATGGAAATGCTCAGCAACTTTTCAGGCTTACCCTCAGAGCTCCACTCCCTTTGACCCATACCCCGTGGGGCCTGTCTTTCCTGTTAACCTTACTGTTCCCCGTATATCCCCAGGTGGGGTCTCTGTAGGGGATTCTCTTGTCACCCTCAGCCTTTTGTGGCTGCACAGCCTAGTGAGTACCACCTCCAGTTGGAACTTCCCCATCACCAGTTGGGGGTGACGTCTACCCCATGGGGTAGCTGTGAGTTTAAATAGGTGATACGGGATGTGCTTAGCTTAACTGCAGCTATTGTTATTCATGAGTTGAACACATGAGGTGGGGGGAAGGGTAGGAGCAATTCCCTAAGACTTGTGGAAGTTGCATCCAGGGCTGCTGCCTAGAGCCTGCTGGAATGTAGGCGGGTTCCTCCCTTTCCTTCTCTTCCCGCATCACTGCCAGCCTCGGTCACCCACCCACTGCCATTCCCCACCAGGAAGCTGACTCTATCTCCTGTGTGGCCACACTTTGGACTACGGGGCAGCCCCATTCTGAAAATAAAAACATCACGGCAAAGAAACCCTGAGGCCGCAGGATTCTGGGTCCGGGCAGGGCAGGGTCTGGGAGGTGGGGTTGGGGGGTTGAGACAGAACTCCTCCCACCCAGCTCGCTGCTTCGCCCTGAGGCTGTTTGCCTTCAGCGTTGGGCTGAACCAGCAGCTGTGAAATGGCTTCCCACCTTTGGCACCCAGACAGCCGGAGTTCTGGTAAAGCCGGCTGTGTTTGTACTGAGGCTGGCAGGATCGGGGAGGGATGAGGCAAGGCCAGGTGTCTGCATCTGCTGAGGAAAAGAGGACCTCCCCCTTTCCCAGAATCCTGATCACTTTTTCCCACAATGGTTGTCGAAAAGATCTGACCCCTGACTTTGGGGGGCTGGTGAGGATGACCCCTCTATCCACACCCAGTCTCTCTCCCCACCTTGCTTTCTTTTCCTAGTGGCCCGGGGCACCATTCCAAACCTCACTCACTCCTTTGTACTCAAAGGAAGCAGCTGCTGGTCAAGAATTATGGAACTTTGGAACTGCTTTGATAAGCAGTGCTATCAGGAGCCATCCTCCCTGGAGCAGTTACTCTGCTGAATGAGCCTTTTGTAGCTTCAAACCTCACACAC